GAGTAAAAAGAAAGTCACTAGTGACAGAAGTGACACAGAAAACTCTGCCTAAAAGCTAAACATAGCTCGGTAACCCGTTAATCTCACCTCCCACTACACTCCTCTGGTCAATAGTGGAGTCAGCTGTTCGTGAACCAGAGCACATTTCACATTGCAGCTCTGTGAGCAGCAGCTAACCTTCCTGCTAATGGAAAAAGTTGTGTCAGACCCACTTCACTGCACACAGAGAGCAAGCAGGACCTCCTTACTTCTTCATTGTGTTTCCCAAACACTCTAATAAACACAGCACTGCAAAGCACAGCGAGTAAATGTTTTCCCTGTTAGCGCAGACGCGACTATTAGCAGCACGTTAGTGTCCAAGCACACATACCAAAGACCAGTTAGAGACACTCGACCATACCCTTAACTCTGACTGTCTCACTCTGTCCTCTCACTGACATCATGGAGGGAGCCGTGCTTCTGATGGAAGACACACTGACAGACGGACGAGACACATAGATCTGTGTGTGTGTGTTTATGTGTGAGGGTATATCCATGTGAACAAAAACAGACGTGTGGCGTATTTGTTCGTTTGTACACAAATTGACAGGATAAGGAAATAAAGATTATTATTTTTAGAACTGAATATAATTTTCCTGCATTTTATTTAAAAATGACATCATGTTTTTATTTTCCCCTCCTCATACCTCATTGGCCTTGGTGTCTCCATTCTGGGCAGGACCGTCTTCCTTCTTCCCCTTGGCGCCACCTTTCTTTGCCTTTGCCCCCTTATCATCTACCACCTTCTGCACAGAACAAGTGAGAATAACATAATGTGCATATAATGATAATTATAGTAACATTTTCTAAATCAGCATTGCAAAAGCTTCACAAGGGCAGCAAAGAGTCAATACACAGTGGTTACAGATAAAAAATCAAACTTGACTAAAACCAGGAAAGGACTTCTCTATTTTATATTGTATCATAAATGGTTCAGAAAATGACCTATCCAGAGCTTTGGGGTGTTAATGCTCTATCCCCTTCAGGCTACAGCCAGGCCCCTGGAGCACACAAAGGATCTGCCAAAGGATCTCAAGGCAAGTACTAAGATGTGAGCTCAGAGCAACGCCGTGAAGTAACCAATATAATCTTCCAAAATATACTGGGAGTTAATATAAATAAGGTTAAAACTAGAGTGATGTGATTCTGTAAAAACTCAGTAACAGTACAGTAATGTACACAAGTCTTGAGCTACCCCCCATTTCTTTGTTTTCAAGTAAAAAATAGCCTGAGTTATTGCATACATACTCATCACAGTTAAGCCTGCTTTCAGTTTGTGTTTTGTTTGAACATTTCTTTCTTTGAACATTCATATAAACTAATACTAAAAGGCAGCCAATTTCCTCAGATTTTTGCAAATTATTACAAATAATTTCGTGTGTGTTTGTGTGTTCGTGTGTGTTATCTGTTTCACCTTGACGACAGTTTTCTTAGGCTTGGCCTCAGGCTTGGGTGGAGCAGGTCTCTGAAAATTACAATAAATAAATAAATCCTGTCAGACCTGATTCATGGTTCAGAGTTTATGAAGAAATGTTGCTCTTATCTATATTATCAAGAGTTCTCTTTTCTCTTTACACTTTGAAAGCAGTTTCAGCTACTTTGCTGTACAGAGTTATTCACTGAGATTAACCCAAAGCCTGCTGACTGAAATGTCTGCACTTGATCTTACTGTAGCCCAAATATTGATAATGATTAAGTACTTGCACCATATTTCATAACCCATGGGCTTTCATCATATTCCCATGCGTTTTAAATATCAGATGGGAGCAAAGATTCTGGCCATTTTTTTTAGGCTGCTGCGTGTAGACCATGTTACCCTAAAGCCACAAGCTACAGTAACGCTGCTGTGATGAAATGAAATCATGTGATTTATTCTCACAATATCTCTGTTTTGCTCAAGAAATGTCTGACACAGCACATGTGATCTAAAATAAAAAGGCTTGAATTAAGACAAACTGTCCTGAAGAGGGTCAATCCTGCTAGTAACAAATTGCCTAAAGATACAATTTAAAAAGTAAAGCTACAGCTAAGAAATTGTTTGCTAGGGTGACTTAGAGTTGAAAATAAAAGGATAAGAGGCACTTTAACTGTAGCTAAACCTCAGTCTACTTGGCGTTAGCTTGAATGAGGCACGCACAGCTTGTAGCATAGACAAACCAACCTTGTGGCTACACAGACATGGTCTCACATACCTTTTTTTTTTTTTTTAAAAAAGAACTTACACCATACATTTTTTTGGTGCAAGTAGTTAATTTGTACCTTTGGACAAGCCTAGGTATAGCCTAGCATAAAGACTGGTAGCCAGTCTTTATGCTAAGCTAAGCCAAGCTAACTGCTAGCATATCTAGCATGCAGAAATGAGAGATGAAAGTGATAAAGATTTCCCATGAAACCCTTAGCAAGAATTACATAGGCTCAAAATGTCAAACTAATGTTTAAATCAAGGGTGTCAAACTTACAGAGAAGAACCAGCCCCTCAAAAGCTATTAAATGACTCTGTAAAGTGTGAAAGAGGCAGAGAATGCATTAATAACTCAGGTTTTTTTTCTCTATTTTCTTGGTGCTGAGAAAAATTTTCAAAGCCAAAAAGTATGTCTAGATGTTGACAAGTCGCATGAATCAGAAAGAATTAAATTGTGGCCTTTAACGAACAACTGCTATCTACAAATTGTGTTGCACATGTAATTAGAGGAGACTGACTACATATGCCAAACAGAGATTTTGTTCAAATGAAAGAATTAAAGAGAATTCAGGCTGTTCTTCGCCAGTTTGATACCCATGATTTCAATAGCACATGCAAATAGACGGGGTAAAAAGACCCAGCACTGGTGGATTTAACATGCAAAGTACGCACACACAAACACAATGACTGCACGGCAGGGCTGCTAGACCACATAAAAATAACACTATATTTCAGATGTTTTAAAATGCCATTCACAATCAATAGCTTAATACAAATTAGGCATAACGTAATCAAGGAAAATACTTATTTTCATCCACATAATTACAGAATTTATAACGCCACTGGTGGCAGTCATGCAGCCCTGAACATCAACAAGTTGTGCAACATACAACACTGAGAATGGGCAAAGACAACAGAGAGTAGACATGCATACCAAGCCAGGAGCCAGTCCTCTGGGAGCACATTTATGGAGCTCTTTTAAATGGCGATTGCCTTCATGAAATCCATAAAGGTCGAGAGGACTTTACTCTGAGCCTTGGTAATGTGACATGTTTTAGCCCGGCGGGATGAGGGGTTGACACTGAGAGGAAAGAGTGGACAGTGACAGAGGTGAAGACAGAGAGAGGGGAGAGTGAAACTTACCGCTGACAATCTCTCTGACCTTCTGGTGGGCTACCGGAGCAACAAATGATCAACAAGAGAGAGAAAGCGAGGGAGAGACAGTGACAGAGAGAGAGAGAAAGAGATATCAGTTGTACCTTTGCCAACTGCTCTCGAGACGATCTACTTGGTGACTGTTACACGTGTCCTAATCATTAACTCCTCATGTGAGTATTCTTTCACTCATACACAGTCCACACA